GGTCTGCTGTCATTACACAGTGCGAGAGCGGCCTCTAGTGGTTGAAATCACTGACAGCACGTGCTATTTGTTTAGACAAGTGATACTGCACGCTGAACAGAGCGGGAAACTTCAGACGCGGATTTAAATGCAGCCGACAGAAAATCCTGCCACGCCATTCACATAGTTTTCCTTTAAATTACATTATGTTGGTCCCGAATCGTTGTTAATGTACATATTGAATTGTGTATTGTGTATTTTCAGCAAAACGTTTGTCTTTCTGTGGCTCTAATAAAGTCTGTGTGCTTCATTTATAGAGAAAACTATCGGTTAATTAATCGGTATCGGCCAGTGTGGTCCAACCTAGCTATCGGTATCAGCAAAATCCACTATCGGTCGACCTCTAGTTCTCACAGTACGACCCCTTACATATTTTTCTTGGAGTGTTACAAAACAGGAGCGGAAAGCCCTTGTGTGTCTTCCTTGGAAGACAGTGAGCTCACTCTCACCTCTTCCTATTGGAATGACCTGTGAACTGTGCGGCTTTATTCTTTCTGTGTCACACTGAAAGGAAGTCCTTTGTAGTAGATACTGTTACACATTCTCAGCTACAGTCTCAGTTATTTTTGACTTAAGTTTGAAATGTCTCCAGATTGTATTCATTAATAGTTTCATATATGTTAATAATGGAATTCAGATTTTATTTAGTGTCATTCTCACTTCTCAGGGCCCATTAATAGCATTGACTTGGGTGTGTCTCCTCTGTGTCTGTGTGTGTGTGTGTTTGTTTGTGTGTGCACGAGTGCAGGCATGTCCATCACAAAGAACCATTGCAGAGTGTTTTTCAGATGAGAGGCAGAATGAAGGTTGTTAGGCTGCTGCTAACAATATGTGTCCTGTGTGGGCACTCTCAGATTAGGTAGAGGTATTGGTATTGTTATCCAAGGCCGTAACCTTGTCTTTGATTTGATTGGCCCTCTCAATCATTTTCACAATGACGAGTGTTGTTAGATCTCTGAGGCAGACCAGCAATTTGACCATTTCTAACTCATGGGCAAGACTTGGGCCCCTCAATGTTATGGGCCTGCTACAATGTAATTTCCACCTCATTTTGGATTATGTATTGTGCTTAATTGCATTTTGTGGTGGTGAAATAAAATGAAATTTTAAACATGGAATAAATGGATAGTGGATTGCAGTCCTTCAAGTGGGACAAAATGATAGACTGGAGTCAGAAGGAGAAGCCAACTCCTGAAAGAAGTGTTCAAGAGCTGAGGAGCTTTGGAATGCCAATCCACAGTCCAGCAAGGCTTACTGTGAAATGGAGAGAACAGTGGGTACCAACTATTGCAAAAATAGTCTTTTCGCTCTGGCAGCAGAGATTCTGAAGACACCTCTTCTCAATCTGCTTGTTATTTGAGATGAGAATGTTGATTGGATGACAAGCTAGAAAGCGGGTCAGAGAAAAGAAAGAGGGCAGTGAAGAAACCCAGCAGGCTCATAATGCATCCGGCGGGCCCCGTGTGGAACGGTGAACGGCAGGCAAATATGGGCCCTGGAGATTTCCTTTGTCACCTCTAATGTCCACTGGCATGCCAAAGCCATCTCTGAATGCTGGGATGAGTGGAGTGAGATGGAGAGAGGCAGCACCTCATGTGTCTGGCAGAGCTCAGTGAGCCTTATTTAACCATTAAAAAAAAAGTTTCTATTTAAAGCAGTTATCGTAAAACATTTCATATTTGACAACTTGGATCTTACCTTGCACTCTTTCACCATTATAACCAAAGCACTGTACTGGAATTCATGCTCGACGCTTGTGAACAGTAAAGCTCACCTTCTTTGATTTGATAAGCCATCTCTAACTTTTTGACATTGATGAGCGTTAGATGAGGCAGACCGGCCTAAAATATCCTGTCATCCTAACAACAGACAGAGTGTTCAGAGTGTAGTATTAAAATGAATTCAAACAGCAATTCAGATTTTTGTATTTGCTATGGTGTTTATCAGACAACAGCAAATGCCTACATACTTGACAATTATTTTCAAACATTTTTTACAGTTACACATTTTCACATTTTAATTTGTGTTTTGTTGTATTTAAATGTTAAATGTTCATTTTGTTATTTGGAAATGTTATTAAAATTGATCTTTTATCTTTAACCTGTGTTTGTAATGCAATTCCACACTGTGATAATACTAAAAACCGTAATAAAAGTTTTAGCAATGATCATGATATGAAAACTTTATACGTCACATGCCTACACAGAAGTGAAGGTGTTGTCATAATTTACTCACCCCGCCCTATCTCATTCCAAACCTATATGACTTTGAATCATAAGATTAACATTGAATTATATTCACTCGCTCTTTCCCATACAATGAAAACATGCAGGGACAAGGTCCAAAAAAGCCCCATAAAAGTCATCTCTATATAGCATGTCTTTTAAATTCATACGATACATTTCTGTGTTCATCACTTAGAAAGCTAAATCATTCTTTACAGATAATCTTCCCCTCTGCTGTAGTTTTCAAATCTCATTTGTGCATATTGACTTCCTTTCAATGTGAATATGAATATGATGTGTCCGGTTTCTTACACAAAGATATTGTATGGCTTCAGGATACTTAGAAGACATTGAATGAGTTGTATGGGTTGCTTTTATGATATCTTTTCATCCTTTTTGGAGCTAAACCCCTAGTCACAGTCACCCTCATTGTATGAACATTCTTCAAAAGTTCTACACAGAAAAAAGTGATTCAGGTGATTCGAGTTGTCGTCTTTGGGTGAACTATGACTTTAAGAAACTGAAGCGCCTGCTGCTTTTCTAAAGCAAACAAAATTGGCCTTTGCAAAGCAGACAACTAGCATTATGTAAATGACATGGAAATTCCATGGTAATGTAAATTTGCATCATGATCTATTGTTGCGTCATCCATCTGTCCTGCAAGTGGACGACAAACCTTAGCAGAGCAAGAAATTTTAGTCTCCATCTCAGTTCCTGCTTTCTACGTTTTCCTTGTGTTCCAGATGTTCAATATATGAAGTATGTCAGGTTGTGTTGTTTCTGTTTTAAAACAACACTGGTTGGACTTCATGGAATATTTTTCTGTTCGCTTCAGCAGGTTGAAATGTACAGGAGAATGTTGTCAATGTGATGAACTTGTGATGTAACTAGCTGGTATGTGATGTTTTGTTGGTCTTAGGACAAAACCCTCCTGTAATCAAACCTCATAACACTCAGAACAGGGTGTGCTTTAATGTGCTCCTTTTCATAGCACGAGTGTCAACTTTTTTTATACTGGTTCTTTTAGATGATCTAAGGTATTTGAGTACGTCCCCAAGAGGTTTAACCTATATAAAGGTATTCAGATGTATTTGAAAACCGTGCCAAGCACTGCAAGTGCATTATAATAAAGCAGTCTAACACGATGTCTCTTTTATAACAACATAAAGGCTCTTTTGCCTTCCTTGGGTATAAAACTTGCATCATGTACAATAGTGTGCATTGCCTTGCTGAATATGCCATGTGTCTATCATGTTTCAGATGGATTGAAGCGTGTTTAAATGAGGATCTCCCGCCCACCACTGAGCTGGAGGAGGGCCTGAGGAATGGCGTGTACCTGGCCAAGCTGGGAAACTTCTTTGCTCCCAGTGTGGTCTCTCTCAAAAGGATCTATGACCGCGAACAAACACGCTACAAGGTAAGACTGAAGTGTAAAACCTTTTCAGAAGCACTGATATGAAAATAGCAGATGGTTTGGATTGACTTGTTGCTTTCTTCTTTGTCCCACTTGTAGGCCACCGGGCTCCATTTCAGACACACAGACAATATCATCCAATGGCTGAATGCAATGACAGATAAGGGCCTTCCTAAGGTGAGGAGTGTAGGTGGTGAACACGAGTCTGCCTGCTTCTTTCATTAGCAGCATTACCTCTGCTTTATTGAGTGACTAACATGATATAGCTTGCCTCTGAACTTCTTTCCCATGTTTGGCAACAATGCTGCATTCAATCTCATCAAAATACATGTACTTGTCTCTCCCTGTCAGATTTTCTATCCTGAGACAACAGACATCTACGACAGGAAGAACATGCCCCGCTGCATCTATTGCATACATGCTCTCAGGTAACTACTATGTCGCTGTGGGCTTATTCACAAATCTCTTGTTGGGGAGAAACTAACCAAAAGAACTGTTGCTAGTAAATTAAGTTTTTAATATTATTATTATTATTACAATTTTTTTTTCTTATATGTTTGTTACAGTAGTTCAGCTGAGTTCATAATAGTGGAGCTTTTTCAGTAACAAAATTCTGTTTTTGTCTGTCACATTGACTATTGCCACAGTTCTGCATGCACTAATTACAAACTAAACTAATTATTTAAACTATCCTACATGGTTCTCTTATGTATTATGTAGTGCTGGGACGTTTACATTAGAGGTCGACCGATATGGGTTTTTCACTGGCCGATGCCGATATTTAGAAATCAGAGCAGCCGATGGCCGATATATGATGCCGATTTTATGGCCGATATGGTTGGCCGATTTTCTTCCAAACCCCCCCTTTCATCTCATAAAAGTGAGTTTGAGTAAGTGATTATTGTAGGGTACAAGATAGTAGTAGTAGCCTAATTCAGAGTAATAATACATGGCTCAAAACTTAAGCACCTTCTCAAAACAGTTCTGAAGCATGCTATTTGTTTACGTTTTGCTGAAAGACACCAGTGTTTCCCACAGACTTGCAAATGCAAATTGATTCTCTGCCAGCAGGAGGCGCTGTTGGAGCGGGAGATATAGCGGTTTCCCCGGTAACGGCTGTAATCAAATAAGCACTGCGCTGCGCGCTCACAAACGCTACTTTATCAGGCATTACAGGAAAGACGAAATGAAAATGACACCGAAGCTTTTCTGAAGACGGTCGGTTCTTTTCAAAGATACATTCATATAAAAACACCAGCGCTGCATTTTATTCAACAAAGTAATAACTCAATGTATGGGAAACACTGGACACTGCTATAAGTCAAATGGCCAAGTGATACAAAAATAAAAGAGTTCACACATATTACACAGCCTGCTGCTCATTACTGCTTAAGAGTGCACTGGCCACGAGCGATGACATCGTGGAGGCTATTGTCCTGACCTACACACATTTCACTACACTCATCTCAGAATTAATGAGGAAACCTGTTCTGGTTTCTGTTGAGGCACTAAACATGTGGCTAGAGAATCCTGCCGTTTGTAATTCTCACATTCCAGTTCAATGCAGAATTGACGCTGGGCCCAAAGGCCATAAATCTGGCCTTCAGAAACAGGAAATAGCAGTATTCAGGGGGCGAGAATTTGGCAGGGGTCTGGCGTGGGGTGAGGGGTACTAAATCCAGTTGTGGGTCTTTGTAGTTGATATTGATGAAGGGATGTATGTTAAAATTGAAAGCCATGAAGATAACATCCGATTCCCTTTGCAGTAGTGTCTTTTCCCACACACACCTATAGAATAGGACAGCTCTCCTCTGGGGAATTTTGTTTCTCATATTCACTTTCTGTTTCTTTCAACAGCCTCTACCTGTTTAAACTTGGCCTTGCGCCCCAGATTACAGACCTGTATGGCAAGGTCGCCTTCACAGGTGAGTCAGCTCGCTGTAGTATCATATTAAAGCTTGAGTTTGTACAAAACAGCTGAAAAGGCCCCTGTTCCCGGGTGCCGTGTTCAATGTGAAAATCACTATCAACTGTATGAGCGTTTCCTGCCATTTTGGCTGGCCCGAAACTGCCTGCCAAGTCCATGAATGGAAAACATTATTTACCAGACCTATTGAGAACAATGTCCAGCCAATCACATCAAAGCAAAGAAAGATGCAAAGCCAAGATTACCTTCCAAAAGGTTACCATGCTTATTAAAGCGTGACATACAGTAGAAAACAATGAAAGCAAACAGAACACTTTCCACTGAGCCAAATAATCTCCATTTTTTTGTTATTTGCGTGTTGTTTTTGTCTTTTCAGAGGAGGAGATTAACAACATGAAGATTGAATTAGAGAAGTACAACATTCAAATGCCAGCATTCAGCAAAATTGGTGGGATTTTGGCCAACGAGCTATCAGTGGACGAAGCAGCCTGTGAGCATTGTTTCAGCCTCTGCTTTTAAAAGTCGAATTCCTCTTGGCACTTTGGCACAACTCCTTCCCTTGTAAACATAAACAACTAGACTTAACAGCCAAGAGTTTAACAGCACGGTAATTACTGTTTTACATTGCTTTGAGCTCAAAAGATCTGCATTATCTTCTGTTGCAATGATTCAGTGCACGCTGCTGTGATCGCCATCAATGACGCCATTGACCACGGAGTCCCTGAAGGCACTCTAGCTGCCATGAGAAACCCAAATGCCATGTTACTGCAGCTGAATGAAACCGCTGCCCAGCAGTACCAGGACACCCTGTTCCAGGCCAAGACTGAGAAAGTGGCCAACTCCCGAAAGAGAGTACGAACTTCGCTCTACAGATAGTTATAATAAAATATTTTTTATATTTGGGTAACTAAGGGTGTATTTTAATATATGTACACACTATCCAACACTGTCTCACACTATCTGCCTAAATAGTCAGCATTAAGGCATCAGAAGTTTGATGTGAAGGCTGTTCTAAACAGAAGACAGCATAATTATTAAATAAAATACATGTAAATTTATAGTCAACATCAACTCTGTCTACCATCTTCAATAAACTTCACTGACATAGTCAGATAACTAATTTTGTCCAAATTCAGGCAACATGGCATGTACCTGTGCATGTACTTTGCGACAAGATCACTGAAAATATGCAGTAGACATGCTTGCATTTTATTCGGTACTGCAAAGTATCAATAAAAACAACCCCATCTAATAAATAATTAAACAAATAAGCAATATTAACTTTTTAACCCAACATTTATGTATGCTTTGTAGTTTTTGTTCTTGTTAGCGTCTTTAGCTTAGCAAAAATCTTTAAATTGTGTATTGGAATCAACTAACTGTAAGTGTTAGATTGCTTTTTGTGTAGTCCAATCAGTTAAAACCTATTTAATATTTCAGTATTATTTATATATACTATTAGGCCGTGTGTCCACCAAAGCGTTTTTAGCCAGCTGTAAACGACAGGCACTCTGAAGCGCTCACAGCTGGGCATTTTCAGCAGAGCGCAGCGTTTTTTTTTTCAGTTGAGATGCTGTGGTTGCTATGATACGGAATATCCGCTGAAGTAATATGGCAGACGCATCGCGAATGAAATGTTTTTCCAAGCCTTATTTTACATAACAATAATATGGTAGTCCAGCAATTCCATCTGGTAAAGACATAAATACTCGGAGACAAGCAATATTAACTTCTCCATTGTATCAGATCAGTCGTAGTACAAGCAGGGTGTGATGGTTGGTCGGTCCCACCCCTCCTCCACTGTGATTGGTCAGCTGACTAAAAAGTGACAGTAATGAGCGCTGCGTTTTACTCAAAGTTGAACATTCTTCAACTCTCGGCGCCGAGAAAAAACGCCCGAGCGCTCAGCGTGGAAAAGATGCTCAGTGCTCGGCACACTCCTGGCATTTAAAAAAAAATGCGGCGCTCCCATTGAAAACAGTTGAAGAAATACGCTAGCCTCGGGAAAAACCACTTTGGTGGACACAGGGCTTTATAGTATTTATTGATATTTTAAAGTAGCTTTTAATTTTAGATTTTTAGTTTTCATTTTAGAATAATTTTTAGTTTACATTTTAGTCATTTTGTTATGTGCTTATCCTTTTTATTTGTTTTTTCCCCCTGATATTTCTATTTATTTTCAGTTTTAGAAATTTTAGTACTTCAACTCCTTTTATTTCAGGTAGTTGGCAAGGCAAAATTTAAAATTTTTGTTTGAAAGTCCGTAACTTTTGGTTAAATATTATCCAAAATAAATTTTTGAGCAAGTACATAACCAGCCAGTGTTCAAAACTATAACTACTATATTAAACTAAGCTAATACACACTAAATACACACAGTCCCGCAATGCTTATGTTATTAACGTCAACAATTTGAAAACAAAGTATAACAATAATAATAATTGGCACGGTTTGATGTGATATGAGCTAACCGATCGTTAGACTTAATCACCATTGATAGCGCAATTTATTGTAATGCTTTTTTCCTCAGTTGGTCAGAACAAACGTGGCAGTTGTTACTTACTTGTTCAGATGACATTCTCCAGTGAAAACTCTTATTTGGGTCATACTTTCAAGATTCTTTGAATACAAAGTGCAGTATTCACACCGGTGCGATGACTGACAGACACACATTAGATTCATCCGTGCTGGAGCCGTGCCGCTGCACAAGCCGCACAAGGAAGATAATTCCGCAAATATCTGCAATTGCAGTTTTTCAAACAGAGATGGCGACAAAGAGGCAAAACTTATGGACTGCAGCTTTAAATTTACGTTTTTCATCTATTATATTTTTTCAGCTTTTGTCATTTAATGAAAACATTTTTTTAATAGTTTTAGATTTGGTCCTATCCATTGTGGATGAATTGAAAAAAAGTATGAAGATAATGGTATAAATGTATGTTTCTTTGTAATAGATTGGAGAGAATGCTGAGGCTGAAAGGGATGTTTACGATGAGCTGCTCACACATGCTGAAATCCAGGGAAACATCAACAAAGTCAATTGTATGTACCTCACCCATGTCCACCTTCAGCTCTTGTGCTCTTCTGAGGCTGATGATCGATGCGATCTGAGTTCTCGGTGTTTGTGTTGTTTCTCAGTGACCAAAGCATTGAATTCAGCAGAACAGGCCCTACTGAGTGGTGATGAGGACAAGCTGTATGACACTCTCCGTTCCCCTGCGTTAGGCCTGCAGTCAGTGCAGGCTCAGAACAAGGGATGGTACCTCAAACAGCTGCTGGCCGATCGAGAGCAGAAGGAACAGGTAACAGGTTCTGCTACTCAGCGGTAGTGTACTCTGTTTGGTACACTTTTTTACCACGGTTTATATTTTGTTTAATGATCCTTTTGAACTTCTAAATATGAAATGCATATGCATAGTGAGGTGTCTCTTTTCAAGAGTAGTGTAATTCTGCTCTCAGAGAGTCCCTTATCACAGCACGTCTGTGACAAACCCTAGGGCTCAGCAGAAATTTATGCTTGTCATGGTAACCATAATAACAGCAATAACAGTTTATCCTGCAATAATGGCACTGAGAGGTCTTCTATCAAATGCTTGGTTATAAGTGATTTGTGTTACTTAACACTAAACTGAATCCTAAAACAGTATAATCAAATTATAGATATTAATAATGATTTCTCACTGAAGCTAATTTGGGTTTTTAGAGCTAATAGTGAATATATCTATCCTGTTGTTGAATGTATTTGTTGTGTGTGTGATGCTGAAACTCATGCTGTTTATTAATTATTCTAAATTAATAACACCTTTGATCCTTGATAGATACTACAGAACTGTTCATATATATATATATATATATATATATATATGTATATGTATGTGTGTGTGTATATATGTATATGTGTGTGTGTGTGTATATATGTATATATGTATATGTATATGTGTGTATATATATCCTTTTTAAATAAAAGTATTAATAAAAAAAAAAATGCTGACCCAAACTTTTGAACAGTAATAAATATAGTGCTTAATGCTTTTAAGTGAGGTGAAATGGATTAAAAAATTAATAAAATAAATGTAAATAAAAACAAAACATTTGTGGTAAATACTGTCAGTCAGACTTACTTTGGGCACTACTTCTGATGTTAAATTATTGGTTATTTGTATCGGCTTCTGATTTGCTTCATCATTGCTTCCCTATTAATAAAGTACCATATTTTACCCAAACTGAACCTGTGTGTGTGTGTGTGTGTGTGCGTGTGTGTGTGTTTCAGTGCTGCGGGCGGTGGAGAGGATTAATGCTGCTATCAGAAAAGGTGTAGCAGAGGAAACGGTGAATGAACTGATGAACCCAGACGCCCAGCTGCCGCAGGTTTACCCTAGTGCTGCAGATCTGTACCAGAGAGAACTCGCCAGCCTGCAACAGCAGAGCGCAGAGGTTAAAACAAACTCACATCCACACAATATCAGCTCACTCTGGTTATTTTGCTTTAACCATCCTACTAATGAGACATTGACTACAGAAACAAAGTGAGCTGCCTACAACCTGCAGCAGCATCCTGATGGTCATGGCCACTAATAAGTGATCAATTTGAAATTCTCTACAAAGATACCAGCTCTTGATTTCAGTAGAATTTAGCAGTTGCATTTTGCCAAGCTATAGGCATGATATTTTAATAACAGCATCAAGCTTAAAAATACATGTCACACAAATATTGGGTAAAACTGGTTACACTGAACCATTTTTTATCAGTACTTCTCAGAATTCAATATTATCAAATAAAAAAAAATAAAAAAAATCAATACATGTTGCTATTATACAAGTAAATATAAGAGAGACATGCATTTATAAATTTATTACAAAAATGTATATAAACATAGAGATTTTTGTTGTTTTAATAATATTGCATAAATAAATAAATAAATATATTTTGCTGCCAAAAAACTAAACTAGGGTGTCGCAGTATAACAATTTTGGCGATGAAATACTGAAAAATTAAATACTGACATTACAAACTTTCTTTCTGCAACCCAACAGTTGTATGTTTAGTGTGATTCATTGGCCACAAAAAGAGAAAACATCAAATAAAGTTAAAGATGAATTTCATAGCACTGACTGATATTTTTCTTCCTAAATTTCTAGAGGTATCGTAATAATATCATTATCGTGAATGTAGTGAAAATCTGATAAAAAAACAGCCCTATTGTTGATTTCTCTCGCCTTGGCTGGCATCTCTTTTCACTTGACTTTGTCACAATGAATTATGGGATTGCCTTCTCTGAGATGCATATGATGCTGACTTTAGAATAGGTCGAAATTAAGCATCTCAGCCTATTTAAGTTGCGTACCTATGTTGCCTTTGTAAGCAGCTTACCGGGTTTAAGAACAGAGCAATAATTTACATGCAGTTTACATAAGTTGACGACCTGTAACCGTTTAGTTTAGTATGAGTGATTTTTGTGCTTTGCTTGACTGCACAGGGCTCTTTGTCACACCCCGAGCTGCTGGTTGCCGTGGAGATGCTGTCCTCGGTGGTGCTGATAAACGAGGCACTGGATGTAGGGGACAGGGCAGCAGTGTGGAAACGGCTCAGCAGTACCCTCACCGGCCTCAGCAATGTAGAGGACGAGTACGCCCAGAGGTGAGAATATTACTTTAAGACACATTCTTGGTCTTATCTTGCATGGTTTATCAGTGAATGTTATTCTAAAGAAAAAAATCTTAAACTTTCATCAAAATACAATAGCTTACTCAGCTACTGAAATGACTTTCCTTTCAGCTGAAAGTCACAGGCTGCATGGGCCATTGGATTATGTCAACTATTAGCCAAATAGCTATTTAAGCATTACTTTACCTAACTCTCATTCAAGTCTGGCTCTATTCTTGTATGCAAAAGCCACTTTTCATAATCAAATCAATTTCTGACTGATAAAACCAGGTCTCGTCCAACTTTGCTTTTTATTTTGCTTAGAAAAATGCCAAAATACGTAAGTAAAATAGGTTGTGAATGTTGATGTTGATTTGGCTCCTGGTTTTAGCCACTGTTTGTTGTTTCCCTGCAGATATATAGATGAGTTGATGCGTCTGAAGGCAGCTGCGCATGAAGAGGGTAGTGACTTTCTCACCTGGAATGACATCCAGGCCTGTGTGGACCAGGTCAACAGTACTATTCAAGAGGAACATGAAAGTGAGCAAGATATTCATCCTCATTATGGATGGGTCAAATTCAGATTGTTTTGTACTATGAACAGTGTGCATGTCCTCTTGCGACTTTAGGGATTGCCGCTATTGGTCTGATCAACGAGGCTCTGGATGAGGGTGACCTACAGAAGACAATGGCTGCTTTACAGAACCCAGCCGCCAAGCTAACAGACATCGATCCATCTTTGGCTCAGCATTACTATGATATACTGCAGGAGGCAAGGAGAGAGAAGGCCCACGTATGTATACCTATACAGACCCACATCAATAACATGGCCCACACAAAACCCTGCCTCTGCAACTGTAAAAAATATCAACTATTTAATTCTTATTTTGAACCGTTCAGCATGTTGGGCCACTCCCACTGCTTTCACCCTCTCATATCCGATTCCAGTTTTTGTCTAGTTTATTTGTTTCCTTCTCTGTTCAAACACTAATGGGAGTTTGTTTCAATCTCTGAAAACACAATAGCATTGCGACCTGATGAGGGTACATATCCCTTTATCAAGGGAGGTCTGAGGTCTGATAGTGGAAGGAGAAAAATGAATTGTGATTTTCTGATAACAATTGTAATTGTGATTTAAAATGTGAGTTTAAAAGGTACCAGGTTCGCTGTGCTATTATTATCATTACTATTCATAAATAAAAAATATGAAATAAAACAAAACCATAAATTAAATTAAAAAAAAAAAAAAAAAAATAATAATATAATAGTATACTTTTTATTTTACAGTACTAATTATTATGGTTGTCTTAATTACATAATTTTCAAACATGAAATCATTACGCATTTAACTGAAAACTCTGGATCGTGAGTTGCTCGTGTATAAAAGAACACAGTGCTGTGCTTCACTCTGAAACAGAATATATTTACACTAAGCAATATTGCAATTTCTGAAAGCCTCTCTCTCCACATGCATCATGTGAGTTTCTCTTACTATGACTTCTCATGATTCTAGTCTGATGACATCATCTGAGCTCATACTGTCTCGTTCCGCACCCCCATATTTTGTCTCGCTTTTATTTGCCACCTCCCCTGTTCTTTTCATTAGAAAGCCCCTTACATTTTTAAATGACTATATTATGTGCAAATAACATTCGATTTATTTGATCTCGCACACCTTAGGTATCATACACACCAACTTTGTATATGATAATAGGACATTTTGGTCCTAATCTGAGGCTCATTGAAGAAGTGGAGTAGGTTCATGTGTAGCATATTTCAGTTTTGTGTCTAGTCAGTGTTTTAGGCCACGCCCCACGTGTTTCCTGTGGATGTGAAATTGAAACCTCAAGGATGCAGGTGAATGGGCACAGAGAAGGCCATGGTTTACCACAGCTGTGTGCCAGTGTGGTTCAGAGCTGAACTGAAGTCTCTGAGGCCAAGAGCTCATTTTTTACCATGACAGCTCTAGATAAAGTACCCAGAATACTCGTTCAGAGGCGTTACGGAAAATCTGTTTGTTTCACCTATTTGGAAACAGTTCTTGTGAGTTTAATTAGTGATATTTACCCTTTATGTCACTAACCACTCTTTTAATAGAGGATCACATGAAAAGCTATTTTTGTCTCTTGAACTCATAGTAGCTGTCAAACTCATGCTACCCAAAAAAAACATGGCTGGAAAAACAAAGTGTTTCCTTTTGCCATGATTTGCACAAGCATTGGAAATAACAAGGCTTATGACTTTTTCTCTGCCTTAAAAGGGCAAAATTCTGGTCCTGTTAGCTGGCGAAGCTGAGGAAAGGGTTTTTAGCGCTGACATCACTCCTCCAGGCTGTCACTAGCTTGGATCACTATGCGGTGGAAAGCACAGATGAAACCAGATCTGCTCAACTCAGACAGGAAGTGGTTAGGAAAAAAGTTTGACGTTATGTTTTTTATAACAAAAATCCCAAAAGGTGGAGTGATGTGTGACCTGACAGTAACGATTCAAGATGTTTCTGTTTAATTGACTTCAGTAATCACAATTTTTGAGAAAGATATAAGCCTCATTCCTCTTGTAATGAGTAAAATGTGAATAGTTAAAAATCAAACTGTAATGGTATTGTACTGATGAGCAGCTGACATGAAATGCTTTCAGGAAGTTAACTGACATACAGTGGTGTGAAATGCCACACACACACATATATATTTATTATATGCAGTTTTTAATGATTTATTAATTTGGAGAATACATGGAATATTTGTAGATATTTGTACACAAAAATTTACGCTATGCCTCTATGCTTTTTAAAAGTACATCACTATTTACATTACATCCTGTGCTAAATTCCTTCCGTAAGCACTTCACGATGATCTTTTCCAAAGTTTAGCTGGAATTTATAGAAGTAGTTCCTCTTTTATCATTCAGTGTAAAGTAAACCATCCCAGAAGAGTTGGTAATGTAATCTTGGACATTACACCACACCCTTTTTCACTTCCTTCGTTACAGTCGGCAGACTTTATTCACATATTCAGATCCTGATCATTTCTACTCCACCCCACTGGGACACATTAAGTCCTGTTTGCGCTCTAATCCAGCAGGCATTCATTTTACGCAGCCGATAAAATGTAACGCAGTGAAGCGGAGACTTATCAACCCTGAAGGAACAACGTTTTCCTCTGTTGCACAATTTGCCACACCCTCAGGTTTGGTGCACGGCACTGCTGTGCGTTTGCAAGCAAGGCGGGCGGATTGCATAGAGGGGCCGCTGCACTCAGCAAATCAGAGAGCTGCAAATCGTGCTCCGGAAACTGAGCTCAGCATGCGGTCAGGGACTACTATGAGAGGGCAACTGCACCACCTGGTGGTGGTGGTAGTAATGAACCCTTTCATTAGCATGCGTTTATCCAAAATGCCCTGATGCAGATGCAGTTAATTCAAAGGTGTAAATTTAATACAGGTACCCCTACAACCAAAGAACATGATCTGCACAAGTCAGTCAGCTCAATCTTATTTATGGCTCTCTGCAGAACTTCCAGAAGGAGATTGTGCTATTTTCTTAAAAGGCAGTGCGTGCTTGTTTATATAATTTTGGCAGTTATGTTGTTGAATAATGAAACACTGTCTCTTCCAGTTCATATAGGTCATTTGTTGTAACTAAATGACCTTGATGTGTTTTTCATCCACATCATACTGTATCTGTTGACAGTTAAAACATTTTTTTTAAAATGGAATTAAAGTGACAGTTCACCCCAAAATGTCAGCATTTACTCACCCACGTATTGTTCTAAACTTTCCTCTGTGGAAAACAAAAGATGTTTCGAAAAAGTCCATAAATTGAGTGTCACTGAGGTGCAAAACAACACTGGACCCCATTGACTTTTATTGTATGGACAAAAAACCTCTGCTTTTTTTGTGATCCTGAGAAGAAAGTAAGGCATACAGGTTTGGAACATGAGGGTGAGTAGATGATGACATTTTGGGGTGAAATGTCACTTTAATTCCATTAAAAAAAATGTAACTGTCAACAGGTGAACTGTTTAATGTCTGTATTAATAATCTCAGTACAGAAGGTTTGACCGACACCTAGTGTCCGAGTGTTATTCCTAATCAAATACAAATGGAAATCTAGTTGGAATAGCTTGAATTTTTTGAAAACATGATTATTTTATCCTATTTTGTTTGGTGGCACAGAGCTTCATCTTTAAACATTCCCATAGTCCTTAAAATCTGCCATTTCAAAAGTGTGAAATGTGTGCATAATAGTTAATGTAAATGTTGGTAGTTATGCTTGGTTCTCTCTCTTGTCTTTTTTTTTTTTTTTTTTAGCTATAGTCATCAAAATTATTGCAAAAGTCATGGGGAAAAAAATGGAAATGAATTGTCCACAAAGTGTGGGAACCTTGTGTAAATTATATTTGACTATAGCGATCAGAACACATCCTAATTCTTTGAAATGGTTACTCATTGGTAATTGACTTCTTGTTTTTTGCTTGTCTTTACAGGAATGCGGAGATCCTTCTGCAGTGCTTTGGTTAGATGAGATCCAGGATGCGATCTTAAGAGCCAACAAGGACTCAGAGGATGCTCTGCAGTGTAAAAATACTTATTTAAATCTTAGTGTACTTACGATTAAACTCAGAACTTATTTCCTTTTGTGTTTGTGTATTTACTCATTTAGTCTGCATCTCTCAGCTTGAATATAACTATGATACTACGATGATTCTTTTCTTTGAACCATCTCAGTTTTTCTAAAGAATAATCTTCTTTTCCATCTTCAGTCTCTCAGGCGATCCAGGCCATTAATGAGACGGTGGATAACAAGGACTCTTCTCAGACACTGGCAGCCCTGCGTTCACCTGCTGCTGGTCTGTATGGAGTCACATCTGAATGTGCTCAGACCTACCAGGATGACCTGTTTCGGATTAAAGAGGACAAGAAAAAGGAAGGTGAGATGGGTGCTTGTGTTGATTCTTTTGATATTTGGTACAAAAATCTATAGTAATAATTACATTAAAACAAGTACAATTTCTTTTTTCTACTCAAGTTCTCAGTTGAAGAATTTGTTTTAAACTGTTTGGTGATATCACAACATATCACATTTACACTTTGTGATGGAGAGAGTAATAGAGGTTTTTGGTAGGGGATAATGGCAGTGAATGGATGAAACATTGGGTGAAGGGAGGACACAACTACTACTATAACCTCAAGACTGGACAAGGCACCTGGGAAGAGCCTGCAGACTTTATTCCAAACAACACTGAGCTCAACAAGGAGGAAATACAGGTAAATCTCTCCAGTATTTATTTTTTACAATGTATATAATAAATAATATATATTACACCACCATATTGTGATATATCATAATATATTATATCTTTTAATATAACTGTAATTTTACAGTTTTGTTGTTTTTATAATTTTTTCTTCCTGATTACTTACTGTCTGTGTCTTTGTAGTCTGTTGTGTCAGGAGTAACCACAGCATATAACCGAGAGCAACTGTGGTTGGCCAATGAGAGTCTGATCGCCAAGCTGCAGGCCCGGTGCCGTGGTTTTCTGGTGCGACGTGGAACGAAAGATCGTCTTGGGTTCTTGAAGTCTCAGGAGCCGTCTGTCACATGCATACAGGTCACTCTCCTCTTGCTTCCTTCACTTAGTGCTAAACAAGACTGGAAGGCAGTAATGTAAATAATAACAAAAATAACATAAATGTTGGTCCAGGCCAAGCTAATCATGACCTTCTGGTTCTGTTTGCTTTATAGGCCCACTGGAGAGGCTATAAGGACAGAAAGAAGTACAGTGACAGGAAGCAGTACCTGAAGGATCATGCTGATGATGCTGTCAAGGTAAGACCAAATTTTGATGAAATAAAAGATCCACACTTCTTGCATCATAAAATGTCAGGATTATACTCACTGTCTGCTATACACTACATGGCAGAAAATAAGTGGTCCTTTCAGTGAGGATAAATCTTAATATGGTCAAATCTGAATTTCAATAAATGTTTTTTTTTTCTGTAGATTCAGTCAATGGTCAGGATGCACCAAGCTCGCAAAAAATACAGAGATCGCCTGCAGTACTTCAAAGACCATGTGAGTTTTAATTCAAGATCAAAGGACTTGTATATTTTTATAGTTAATAATAATAGTTACTATAAAAATAGTTAATCTGATTTCTAACTGCTCAGTGGTCAGTCTTTAATGTTCTCCATCCAACTTTCTCATTGCAGATAAATGATGTGGTGAAAATTCAGGCTTTCATTCGAGCCAACAAAGCAAGAGATGACTACAAAACACTCAGTAAGCATTTTATGTACTTCCTTCAAATTCTGTTTCACATCCATTCACTTTGAACATGCCTCTAATATACATATAGATAACTAGTTTTTTTCTTTTGAAGCCATGTAATTGTTGTTTCTGTATACTGTTAAAACGCGAACACCATAAAATGGCGTGATCATTTGATCTCCATCATTTACTCCTGCTCATGTCATTCCAAACCTTTATGACTTACTTTCTTCTGTGGAACATAAAAAAATTATTTTGAGAAATGTCTCAGTGTTTTTTTCTCTATACAATGGAAGTCAACTGTTTGGTTACCAACATTCTTCAAAATATCTTTTTATGTTCTGCAGAAGAAAGAAAGTTAATCAGGTTCAAAACTACATTGGGGGAGTAAATGAGGACAATTTTTTTTTTAGGGTGAACTTTACCTTTAAGGGGAGGGACACTTTATAGAACATTTAATTGGACCAGAATTAGAGTGCAGGATGAGTCATCAGTGTTTTTGTTCAGTTTTCCCAGAAGAAAAAGACTGCACATTTTAAAGTGTATACCTTCAAGCTGTTTCCTCCAACTAGTATAGGAATCCACTAGCACTGAATGCCATAAAACTCTAAATCCTGTCTTTAACAGTCAATGCAGATGATCCTCCAATGGCAGTTGTTCGTAAGTTTGTCCACCTGCTGGATCACAGTGATCAGGACTTCCAGGAAGAGCTGGAACTGATGCGGCTGAGAGAAGAGGTAATCACTAACATCCGCTCCAACCAGCAGCTGGAGAACGACCTCAATCTGATGGACATCAAGATCGGCCTGCTGGTGAAAAACAAGATCACCCTTCAGGAGGTGGTCTCTCACAGCAAGAAGCTCACCAAGAAGAACAAGGGTGAGCTGTCCAACCTCATGATGATGAACAAGCAGAAAGGAGGCCTGAAGGCACTTAGTAAAGAGAAGAGGGAGAAGCTGGAGGCATATCAGTTCCTCTTTTACCTGTTACAGGTAAAACTCATCAACTCTTCCCTAAGAATTGTTTGAAAATCAGTGTCACTACAGTCCTGTTAATTCCCCTCTCTGTTAATTTTCCTCAGACAAATCCAACCTATCTGGCCAAGCTGATCTTTCAGATGCCACAGAACAAGTCCACCAAGTTCATGGATTCTGTCATTTTCACATTGTACAACTATGCTTCTAATCAGCGTGAAGAGTACCTCTTGCTCAATCTCTTCAAAACGGCCCTGCAGGAGGAAATCAAGTAGGAATTTCATGATATACCATTAGGGCTGGGCGAAATAGCTAAAAAATTTATCAACGATATAATGTTTCATATCATTCGGTATCGATAATTATTGACATTTTTTTATAACCTTTTTTAAAACAAAGAGCAATAGAAAAAAACGTTTACA